AATGAATTTTTTGGCCAGATAGCTATTAATACTTTGCCATCAACTTTGTTCTGTACTCATCCCTAAACTATATGCCCCTAATTAGTGGTGTCATCATTCATATTCCAAATGATTTTGGGTTGCTATTTGGAGTCTCCTGCTCTTTAGTTATTGAGATCAGTTTCTTCTATGTGGAGTGCCATCTTAATTGTCCTCTATCTTATCAAAACAACAATATTTTTCTTACAAAAGCATGGCTATATATGGCCCTTCACTCAGCCCTGAATTCCATGTATACCATTGGTTCAAGAGGGCCCATTGCTCGGTAGATGTCCCAGGGACTCCCACCAAGTAATTTTTCGCCTGTTGTGACTTTCAGAGTTGTACTACCTGCCTTCCTTTCAAGGAGGAGAAATACACATACCTCTGCATTATTGTTTGTTGATATTACACTGACTAAAATTCTTCACAGTATAGTAAGAAATATGGTTAATTTTAATTTTCACTAATGATCAATGTTTTAACTCTTTCAACATTTTATGTTTTTAGTGGGATTATATGCCCTTGTGAATAAAATTTTAGTGGCAAAAATTGGCATTGACATGCATGACCTTCAGTCTCTAGGAAAAGGGGAAATCCAGCAGTTAAAGTAAGGCACTCTGTAAGGTGTGGAGTACTTTTCTAGCACTATAAATATTGTACAAACAACTTTGTTTTCACTTTCCTATTTTCATTATTCCTTCTTGATTTGATTTTCACTGCATACAACTGACTCTCACTGGAAAAATTAAAACTATGTTCTTTATTTATTCACCATAATTTTAGATGTAATATTTTTTTAGTAAGTTCTTCGTGGTAAGTTCTAGTGTTTCATTGATGGCTCAGAGATAGACCTAGCCCTTGTGGAATCATGACAAATTGAAGGAGTCATAGGTATAAATTCAAAATTTATAAGGCTACTTTAGTGTAGCTATTTTCATTGTGCTGTAAAAGAACATTGGTAGATATAATTACCTTTTGCTAGGAAAAAGATGTTTCAAAGAATATCACAGATAAGTCAAACTTCTGAAGTGCATCTAAAAAATAAGTGAATTTTTAAAGTTTCTAAATGATCCACAAACTATCATATTGAAAGAAAAGGTGTATTCATTAAATGTCCAGATGTACTGTTGAAAGATGGAGAGAACAGGGAGGCAGGACAGAAATTTTGGTGTCCAGTGAGGCTATAAAATTTACATAGGGTAGAATATAAAAGTCAGAATATTACATACAAAAAGATTTAAACTTTCACCCATAGAAGAATAGAAATATGTTAAGTAAGAAAGTTATGCAGTCACTTTGGACTTTTAGAAATTACTGTGAACCAGGCTTGGTGACCTGTAATTGTAATGCTCTGAGGCAATGAGGCAGAAAGATTGAGAGTTTGAACCCAGCCTAGACAATATAGTGACTTTGAGAGAACGTACCTCAAAAGGACAAATAAAAAAGGGCTGGAAATGTCACATAGTGCAAAGAATCTGGGTTCAATCCTCAGTACTGAAAAATAGTTAGGATATTATCACAGTAGTACAAATAACTCCAAGAAAACCTCCTTCACAGTGTGATCATCATGTGGCTCTATTTTGTGGTCTTTATTGTTCATAGGCTTGTAGAGGATACATTTGGAAGATATTCAGGATACATTTTAAAAGAGGAAGAATTGACAGCCTTCATAAATTGTTGATCCTGAAGAAAACAGAATAGAGTAAGATACCAAGTTTGGCCACAGGGTGGTAAGTGGTAGGGATTTTAACACAGATAAAGATTTCAGAAGATGATCAAATTTTTGAGGAAAAGAAATGTGGGAGGAATTTTAAGTGAAGCTTGAGTTACTTTGAGCTTGTTTTTCCTGAGTGGTACTTATGTGAATGCTAGTTGAATATAGTTTAGATGTCTGGTTTAGAGAGTCTATAGGAGACTCATGAATGTATATGTGAGAGTTGAAAACATGGGGGTTGATAAGTGTAGATAGATACGATCGTACAATAAATTCTAAACTGAGAATTACAGAGATACTGAGAATGAATTCTTGGACAACAGTAATACTTATGGGAAGGTGAAAGGAAAATTTTAGTTGAAATAGTGATATATATCTACATCTATAGATATAGATATATATCTCCCAATGAACATTAACACATACAAACAAAAGATCATCCATGTACTACTAAGATAAGACACTGAAAATTTGTTTCTCCACTTCAATAATATTCAGTGGATCTTATATAAATTAAGACAATTGGCTTTTTAAATTGTATGGTGGCATTCTAGTTTAGGTTTAATTTGTAAACACCCTTTCATATAAGCTTCTAATATTCATTCAAACTAATTCTGATCAAAATCCTTGATATTGACCCCATTATGGAGCTAGGCCTCCTTTACTTCTGTCAAAAGCTTAAGGAATAATCACAAGAGAAAAAAGAAAACCTGGAAAGAACTATAAACTTGGTACCTTTTGAAACTCTTTAAACTTTATCCCTGTATCAAATCTGACCACTGAAAAAGCTCATCTGGTCCTCACATAGTTACAATTTAATGTTGAAACCTTTGGCCTTTTTGGTGAATGAATCTGCTTTGAAAGACAAGGTGCACTATGTTGTCCAAAACTTCATATAAAGACACTTGTGACAATTACTTCTCAGAAATGAGAATGAGTGTAGAAACTTTTTGATGGATTAAAGTGTTCTTCTGCTAGGCTATGAGTGCTATGTAGCTTATTCTGTTTGTGAGTTTACTGGGATGTTCCAAGCCAACTATGAAGTTGTGGCTTCAATTGCTGCTGCTTTTCTCAGGCAAGGTGATTTTTATATAAAAAGGGGCATTTTAATTTCCTATTCTTTTCTAGCAATTCTTAGACTTCAAAATTTTGTTTTGTGATTTTTTGGTAAATTGTAACTGAAAGCTATCTTTCAAGTTCTTTTTTGTGGTTAGACTTTGTCAAAGCTTGACTATTTCCCCCCAAATATCTGTGCTACCCTCTCCTTTCCCTGTCCACAACATGCACTAGAGCTCTCACTGATGCTAGCTTTGAATTACATTAGGTAAATGGACTAACTAAATTGTTCATGAGTGTCTTTCTAGTCTATGAGTTTAAAAGTCTACTATGATTAAGATTTGATATATCTTATATCAGAAATATCAGAACATTTAATATTGGTTATATTTTCATATTTTTATATATCTATGCCACAACTTGACTCACCTAAAATAAATTATTCCATATGATGCTAAAGCACATTTAAGTAATTTTTTAAACATTTGACTGAATGATATGAGTAAGAAAATGCCTAAAGCATGCAATCAGTATTTTCAAGTTTATTAAAAGTTATGATATAGGTACACAGCAATCAGTTTTTTGCTTAAATTTCTTTCATGTTTCATATTTAGAAAATATTATCTTATTGAATGATTGACTTTTGGGTCACAAAGGGTGAGTATCAAGTCAGATTTTATGATTCAGAAAGTTAAAATTGCCATGGATGAATTCGTATCTGGAAAGTTCCCATTCTCCAGTGTTATTTTTATTGCTTGGCTTTATTTTTATTAGTACATGTTTGCAGTATATAATATTTACATTAATCTTAGGAAATAGGTACATGAACCTAATAGATCCTAATACTTTTCATTCCCCTTCCCTGATCCCTTTTCTTCCCTCCCTCTATTTCTAGGTCCCCTTTCCCCATTTTCATTTTATTCCTTTTAGTCCATGTTTGCCACACCTAATGATTGCATTCATTGTGAATAGCTGCTACATTTACATAACACATCTCACTTCTTTCTATGTATCTCTCCCCTGCTTCCTGACCTTGCCCTCTCTACCTCTTTGTCCCCTTCCCAGGTGCAAAAGATTTATCTGTCTGTTTCCTCTTATCTATCTTTTATTTTGCTCTTATACTTTGAATATATCCAATGAGAAATACCATACAGTACTTAAGCTTATCTGTCTGATTTATTTCACTTTATGTTGTTTTTTTTTTTTGTATTGGGGATCGAACTCTGGTCTTTGTACTTGTGAGAGAGGCGCTGGAACCACTGAGCTAAATCCCTGGCCCTTTACACTAAGTTTTTAAATTGCATCCATTTTCCTACAAATGACTCAAATTGACCAGTTTGTAACCAAGTAGTATTCCATTCTTTATAGATACCACATTTTCTTTATCCATCCTTCTGTTATGAACATTTGGCTGCTTTCAAGACTTACCAATTCTCCAAAGTTAGAATGTGATCAGTGAAAACCTTTGAAAAGTTTTAGAAATGCATTAAGCCACTGATTTTTAAAATAATTTTCTGTAAGGAAAGAACTAATATGCATAAGTATTTGTTACTGCTTTCTATTTTACAACATTTCTAACAGCATTTATATTTCTGGACTAACCAGAGGGCATTTGAGGTGAGTGCCCATCATTGTAAAGATACCTATCATAGTCAATATCCTGTCTGCCAGGATATCTGCTCATACTAGCACTGGAAAATAATCACAGTTAATTTGATCCTTGGGCATGATTGCTATTTTTCTATTTTTTAAGAATCTTTTTGTGTTATACTTACATTCGAATTTCAGAAAGAATTGCAAACTTATTTGAGTGAATAGAAGGGGGGAGATGAGAGAATCAGATATCAAGAAAACTGTCTTTGGATTATTCTTTGCATTTTCATGTGTGGTATAGTTCATATTCTAGTTATTGGAAAATAATTCTGAAAGACTTACTTTTAGAAAGCTGACATGTATGACATAAAATTTTAACATTTAAAATTAAAAGCTGCCAGATCAGAGTTGACATCAATGAAAAAATTTAAATTCTTTCCTCATTTTAATCACCCTATTCAGTTCTGTTTGTGTACCAGATAGTCTGTTGAATTCTCACTTCCACAGTCACTGAATTCTCTTTCTATGATGAATGTTTGTAATTAAACTCTATTTACACACTTGGTTAACAAGATTACAAAAAAATTACTCACATTTTTAACTGAATATTTTGCAGGTTTGAAAATGTCTAAACAGATTAATTATGGTCAGTTGGATGCATTATGCCACATTAGAAGTATACATCATAGGTGAGTTATTCATGCATTTCTTTTTCTGTCATTGAAATGAATGTGAATATGCTTGTTTTATGAACAAAAAGTATGGTAATAACTGGTTGCTGACTCTCATAGGTACCTGATTTATCACCCAGATAAAAACACATGAATACCTGGAGATTATTTCTTCAGATTGAAGGAGCAAGATATATATGTCATACTTTAAGGAAACAGTTTAGTGTGGATCAAACATAACTCATCCCGAGCTAGGACTTTTTTACTACTTAAAAAGCAATCATAGGGAGAAAAAGGCTTAAATGGCCAAAAACACAAATATTGAGTGAAATAAGTATCTGAGCAGTACACAGGGGATTCTAGTTGAAATACACAGGACCTGGGAAACTGGGAAATATCAAAGTTCAGAGTTTAGGATTTCTAAGATTTGTGATACTTGGGGGTACAATTTTTAAAAATCTATTTTGTTGGCAAGTCCTTTCCTTGAGTCAGATTTTCAGAATTATGAAACTGGATATTTTCTTTCATATCCATCTATGTTACTCCACTCTCTCACCTTCACTCAGCAATGGGACCTTGTGTCCTTTTTATGGTTTACAGATGTTCTCTGCCTACTTTAAAACTTCTCTAAATCACGGTCTTCATTACTTTATTTCATTGTTTTCATACATCTTACCACCTTTTTAAAAAGAACATGGTCATAATATATTGATATTCCTCAGATTTCTATTAGTTGGGAATTTTTTTTCAACCTTTACACTGCTCTCTTCTCATTCCCAATGTCCTTCAGGGTAGATAAAAGTGTGGTTTCCTGGTTAGAATTTTGCCCCGGCCACTTGCCCACTGTGTATCCCTGAACTTTTTACTTAATTTTCTCCTATTTCCGCACCACTCTTTCCAAGGAATATTTGGACAATTAAATGATCTTATCTGTATGAAAACGGTAAGATTTCAGATGTATACTATTGTCATTGTAGTTATTCACAAAAGCTCATCCAATTTTTAACTGTATTTAAAACTTTTAATATTCAAGCTTTGAACCTAGCTTAGATGTTAGTCCCTTCTCTTAATACCTAAGAATCTAATTTGGAGTTTTGAAATGAAACGTCATTTTTTGCTTTCTTAGCCATTTCTTTTTCCCATGTGTTATTAGATTGTTTTTCTTTATAGAGAAGATCATAGTAAGAGAGATGTAATCATTTAGGTTTGGGTCTGCAAAAGTATCCACTCAAAATAAAATGTATCAACCTTCATCTTCCTCTTCAAAAAGCATTAGAGCCTAAATTTTTTCTTCTATTAGAATAACGATAGCAGATTGACATATTGTCTTGAGACTTTTGATCAAGGATAAAAGTAAAAAAATTAATATCAAAAGGAGGATGATGTCACTTTGGATTTCTGTTATTGGAGGCAAGATTTTTTTATCCCTAGCTAATTACAAGCTTCATGAGGACAAAAGATTCATTTTACATATATTATTGCTTCCTATCTTGCAACAGCATAGAATTAAATGTTTTAAATAGAATTTCACTTTAATCTTTAATTTCTTTATGCTTCTAAATATTTATGAGTTTTCTGTGTTGATTATAAATAAAATTAGAATAGATACAGATTTATAGTGTGATTTTTAGTACTATCTGGAGAACTAATCACAAAAAATTTTTTCAATAGACAAGTCACAATAATGTACATTATAGAGTAAAATAGCAAAATTTTGATATGAATGAGGCTGTTTTCTTGCTATTGAGTTGTTTGATATATATATATACATATATATATATGTATATATATATATTCCCTTATCCAAAACTTCAAAATCTGAAATGCTCCAAAATCTAATACTTTGTGAGTGCCAACATAACACTACAAATAGAAAATTCTATACCTTATCTTATATGATGGGTTGCAGTCAAAATGCAACAGCACCAAAAATATGGTATTAAATGCCTTCAGATTGTGCATATAAGGTGTGTATGAGATAAAAATAAATTTTGTATTGGGCTTTTGACCCATCTGAAAGTATCTTCTTCTGTAATGCTAGTATTTCAATATTGGAAATAATTCAAATTCTGGAACACTCCTGGTTCCAAGCTTTTCATATAAAGATACTCTATATATACAGTGTAGAATGGTAAATCAAACTAGTTAATCTACTCACAGAATGACTTATGCGTTTCTTACAGTAAGACCATTTAAATTTACTCATGGATATTTTGAAATGGTCAACATATCATTTTTTACTATTGTCACCATGGTGGACAATGACCTCAAAAACTTATTCCTCTTGTCTAATTAAACTTTGTACCTTTTGATTAACATTTCTTCATTATTTCAATGGGTTCTTTTCATTTTCCTATTGATTAGTGATATTGAGCATTTTTATGACCTTGTGTGCTGTTTGTGTTTTGAAAAATGTTTGTTCAGATCCTTTGCCCATTTTCAAATGAGGTTGTTTGCTTTGCTTGCTATTGAGTTGAGTTCCATTAATCCTTATCAGATGTATGTATTTTTTCCCACTGTTGAAGATTCCTCTGTACTATTCTGATTGTTCCCTGGGATATGTTGAAGCATTTTAGATTGATACATCTCATTTGTTTGTTTTTTGCTTTTGTTTCATGTACTTTCATTTCATATAAACAAAATTAGTGACCAGACCAATGTCACAAAAATTCCTTATTTTTCTTCTAGTAGTTTTAAAAAATTGTATTTCAAGCCTCATATTTGAATATTGAATCCATTTTGAGTTGAATTTTTTATATGGTGTGAAATATGGTCCAATTTCATTCTTCTGTATGCAGATATTCAGTTCTTTCAATACCATTTTATTGAAGAGTTTGTCCTTTGCCATCGTGCCATTATTGTCACAAAATCAACAGGCTGCATGTGTGTGGGATTTTTCTGTTCTTTCTGTCCTGTTCCATTATGTCTGACATTCAGCGTTAGTGTGCTGTTTTGATAAAAATATCTGTATAATATGTTTTGATTTACCTCAGCTCTGTTTCTCCACTGAAGATTGCTTTTGCAAAATGGAGTCTTTTGTGGTTGGATATGAATCTTAGGAGTTTTTTCTATTAGTGTGAAAAATGGTATCAGACTTTTTATAGGAATTTCTTTAAATCTATAGGATGTTTTGAGTAGTATGGACATATTTCAACAATATTAATTCTTCCAATCTATGAACAAAGAATGCCATTCCATTTATTTGTGCTTTCAACTTCTTTCACCAATACAGTGTCTAAATTTAAGGTCTATAAATCTTTCAATTTCTTGGCACTTTATTATTATATACTGCTTTATTTTCATTGTCAATTGTATTTATAATTATAAATGTGATGTTTTCATTTCTTTTTTCAGATGGTTTATTATTAGTGAATATAACACTACTGATTTGTATCCTGCAGCTTTATTGAAATCATTTATATTCTTTTTGCATAGTGTCTTGGTCTGACTTTAGTGTCAGAGTAATTCTGGCCCTAATAAAATAAATTTGAAAGTATTGTAGTCATATTTTTTTTTTGAGAAGAGTTCAAGATATGTTGGTATTAGTCCATTAAACATTTGGTGCTCACTCACTTGGTCATTAAACATTTGCTAACTTTGGGATCAGTTCAGTTTTCTTTTTCTAACTTTTTGAAATACAAGGTTACATGATTTATTTGAGATCTTATTTTGATGTAGGTGTTTATTAGTATAAACTTATCTCAGAACTACTTTTGCTGAATGTATTAAGATTTGGTATGTCAAGTTTCATTTTCATTTGTGTCCAGATATTTTTAAAATATCTCTTCACTTCTCTTTTGACCCATTGATTGTTCAGGAACATGTTATTCAATACTGCCATATTGAAAATTTCCTACAATTTCTTCTGTTATTGATTTTTATTTTTATAACATGTGATTAGGAAAGATACTTGATATGTTTACAGTCTTCTTAAATTTATTAGGACTTATTTTGTGGCCTAAAATATGATCTACTCCAGAGAATGTTTCATTAGCACTTGAGAGGAATGTGTTTTTTGTTGCTTTTTGATGGAATTTTCTGTATATTTGTTAAGCTCATTGAACTGAAAAAAATTAGTAGGAACCTTCAATATGTGCTTTTCATTAGGTGTATCATGTCCAGTGTTTCCTTATTGGGACTCCCTTCATGTGATTTTGTTTTTTAGCTTGCTTCTTTATTTTTTTGTCTTTGATTTTTGATAATTTTATTATGATATGTCTTCATTAACACTTCTTTTAGTTGAATTTGATTGGAGACCTCTGAGCTTCTGTATCTAGGTGCTTTCCAAATCTTTCCACAGATTTGGAAAATTTTCAGTCATTCTTTTTGAAAGCAACTTTTGATTCATTTTCTTTTCTTCTTTTAAAAACAATATTGCAAATTCCTATTATAAAGATATTAGTTTTCTTGATGGCATTTCTATTTTTGTAATGATTGAGGCTCCTATCCAAGACTTACACATGCTAGTGTATATCAATTAGTTTTGTGATGAATGTATTAAGAGATCAACATTTAATAGTAATTAACATTATCAATTTATAGGTACTTATTTGCAAATAATGATGCAATCTGTTGAATATATATGTCTTGCTTAAACAGGTTTTAAAATAAAAACCTTAAGTTCACTGTCAGATATGCAGTATTTTTCCACAGGTATAATGTTACAGAATCAGACAATTAGAATAGGAAATCAACTCAGAAGTTATCTAGTGGAAACTTCCTGGTTTGCAGATAATTAATTGTTAATCATTGGTCTTTAGAACAAATGAGTTGATGAACCAGTTATATTGGATTCAGTCTTCGAGGTTTTCCTAAGAAGTATATGAAATTTTATACTATACTTTTATAAAAAAAGATAAAAGTAATATTATTAAAATTACAGCAATGAATTAAAATACATGAAACACATTGAAATAATTATTTCTTTCTCATAAGCAAAGTTTATTAAATTTGGAGAGCAGAGAGAATTTAACAGAGGCAATTATGGTGATTTTAATGAGACTCTTGGACATATTAGT